CGGATTAGCAGACTAGCTTTGTCTGTTAGGATGGAATGATGAAATGGAAGAACATTTGGAGCTGTGACAAGTCTGTTCTTGATGTCTGTCAGCTGGTCCTGGTATGTCTTCAATGGAAGTGACGGGTCTTGGATGGCAAACACTTTCACCACACATAATCCTTCCCTAGTTTAATAAGAAAATCATGAGTCACATGTATAGTGTATGGTTTGAACCCAGGAGTGTCAGTAGTTCATCTTGTGTAATTGTCTGGGTGAGGGTAGTTCTGAAAAGAACTGTTGTTGGTGACTGACATTTCAACAACCTCAGAGGAAGTCATCTTCAGAGTCAAGTAACTAGTGCAACTTGTCAGTAGAACTGACCAGTGACTGCTGACAAACTTACACAAGTCTTTCAGCCAATAACACACCCGAGTGGAACTCACTTCCTCCTGAAGTGATAGACCAACCAAGTGTTGAGGCGTTTAGGGCCAGTCCTGTCTCTTTTTTGTCTCAATGGTGCTTTAGTTACATTTATTTCCTATTTTTTCCTCTCCTTTACATCTGCAGTGATGGGCAAATGCCTTTGCAGATTACATATATACAGATATAGATGTAGATGTAGATGTAACACCATCAACTGACAAACACTATTCGCTTCACCCTGAAGATGACTTCAGCCGAGGTTGTCGAAACGTCAGTCATCAACAACAGTTCCTTTCAAAACTGCCCTCACCTGGACGATCACACAAGACTACCGGTATCCCCACAAGTCAAACTTACCTAGCCTGAGAACTAATTCCAGACTAAGCTATAGGGTGATGAAGGAAACTGGAAGCTGTGCATATTCAAAGCAAGAGGGGTGAACAAAGTTCATGGAGGAGCTTCCCACAAGCAATGCTGCATTGTCTTTGCTTCGTATAACTATATGTATCACACAACATTAACAAGACTCTTCAGTTTCTGTTCAATGACTAGATGCAGTACATATGCATACATGCACATGTAGATGACATGGAGAAAAAAGTCTTTCAAGGAAGAATTTAATCTATAGCAATGTCAGACAATTCTTTAATCGTTTAATATTTTTTGATGGGAGCAAGGAGCTTTTTATTGAAAAAAGAAATCAAAACTAATCTGACATAATAAATGGTAGTCGGTATATAGCACATGTACATATACACACAATTAATTACATTTGAATATACTTTTTACACTCTGATAAAGAATAGCTTTTCTGCCAGAAAGATACCTGAAAGGATTTCAGCTATTTTATAAAACAAAATTACAAAACTTTACTCCTTCTTTGGTAACATGAAGAACAGACTATTATTACCGGAGGTATTTTATACATTTTAA